CTTCACAGGGCCCCAACGCCCGCCCCTCCCGCGCCACCGTCCCCCTGCCCCGCCCTCCCGGCTCTATTGGCCGTCACCGCCACGCGTCACCGCCCAAGGGCCGCTGCCATTGGTAGCCGCGCGCGTCCTTCCAGCGCGGAGCATAGAGAGGGGACGGACGGTCCTCCCAGAGTAGCAGCGCGGCTGTGGGCGGAGCTATCATAGAGCTCGGCGCGCAGCGCGCCCGCCTTCCAGCCACAGAGAGATGGCAGAGCGACGCCACTAAGGGAGGGCGGTGCAAACAGCGGGATTGGGGAGGGGCTCCCGCCCTCGCCGTCCAATGGGAGCGCGGTGAGCGGGCGGCGCCGTCCAATGGGAGCGCGGGGCCGGCCGCCGCCGCTTTGTCTATATGAGGCGCCGCGGGGCTGTGGGAGCCGCCATTGTCGCCGCCGCCGCGCTCGCAATAGCGCTACCGCCTTAAAGGGGCCGCGCCAGCGAATCGCCCATCAAGACCGGGTGGGGCCCACCTCTCCGTCACCGCGCCCAGCCCGACCCACGCCGCCACCATGAGGGAGATCGTCCACATCCAGGCGGGCCAGTGCGGCAACCAGATCGGGGCTAAGGTGAACAGCGGGCGGGCAGCGTCGGGTCGGAGGGGGCTGCCCTCCTCCCATTCTTCCCATGCGGCGCGGCCCCTTTTAAGAAGCCCCTCCCCGCGCGCAGACAAAGGCGGACCCGAATCCAGGCGATTTCAGCCTAAAATCGTTTCTTTCCCACCCGCCGAGGGCCTGAAATGAAAAGCTCTTGAAATAGAGAGGTTCGGCCTCAAAACGAAGCGGTTCGGCCCCAAAATGGAGGTTTCCGGCCTCAAAATGGGGGCGCTCCGCCCCTCCACCCCTTTCTTCTCACGCGGCCCCAAAATGGCGGTTTCCCGCCGCGCCTGAGGGCAGCGGCCCCCGAATGCGCCTTTTCAGCCACCAAGTAACACTTTACTAGAAAAATGTTATTTTCCCGGCTCCCTGAATTCCCCCTTCGCGATATTCGGCCCCCAAATCCCTATTTTTGCCGGGATTAGGGAATTCTCCCCCCTAAAGCGGGAGGTTAAAGCCCTCAAATTGGGGGGTTTAGCCCCAAAATAGGGGTTTTCACGCACCCCTTTCCCAAGCGTTGTTTTAAAAGCCGAAATTGTGCTGGTTTTACCTCAAAATCGTGGCATCCCGCCGCTTGCAGCTTGCTTGGCCCCAGAATGGCGGGTTTTAGCCCCTATAAAACGGGTTTGCACCCTCCTAATCAGGTATTCTGGCCACAATATAGGCGCTTTTCACTCTAAAATGAGAATTTTATGCGCCAGAATAAAGATTACTGTCCCCAAATCGGGGCGTGCCGCCCACAGCGTTTCGGCCCCGAAACGGGGGGTTTCTGCCCCAAAAGAAAGGTTTTCTAAGCCCCAAATCAAGGTTTTTCAGCCCCCAAATAGGGGCGTGCCGTCTCTCAAGAGGCTCTTTTGGCTCCAAAGTGGGAGTTTTTCACCCCCCAAGTGAGATCCTTTTGTCTCACAACAGAGATTTTCTTTTCCAGCTCTAAAATGGGGGTTTGGGACACAAAATAGAGAGTTTTCAGTTCCTAAATGGGGAGTTTTAGCCTCAAAATCGGAGTGTCCGGCCCCAAGATGGAGGTTTTTCGGCCTCGGAATAAGCTTTGTTCGCTGAAATGGAGGTTTTAGCCCTAAAATGGCCATTTCTGCCCCCCAAAAGAGATTCCGGCCCTGAAATAAAGGTTTTTAGCCCCCAGATGATCGGTTTTGTCCCCAAAATGGATTTTTTTAATGCTAAAATGAGGCTTTCACCCCGCAAAAGCTTTTTCCAGCCCCAAAATGGAGGTTTTCAGCCTCAGAGTAAGATCTTTGTTCTCTGACATGGCATTTTCCAGTCCCCAAACAGGTTTATTTTTGCCCCCAAATGGGCTTTTGAGGACCGAAAAGGAGCTTTTCAGCCCCCAAAGGATTTTTTTCAGTCGAAAGTGGAGTTTTACGCAGCTAAAATAGGGGATTCCAGCCCCCAAAATGGAGGTATCCAGCCCCAAAATGGAGGTCCTCAGCTAAAGAATAGGATCTTTGTGCTCCCAAATGCATTTTTTCTGCCCCAGATTAAGGAGTTTTGCTTCAAAATTGAGGGTTTTTTTACTCCCAAGTAGGGTTTTTTTTGATGAAAAATGGTGCATTCCGCCCCAAAATGGATGATTTAGGCCTCGGAATATGCTCTTTTCCATGGCGGAATAATTCTTTTTCTGCTTCACAATAGAATTTTTCCACCCTTTAACATTTTTTTCAGCACCAAAATTTTTTTTTTTTTTTTACACTGAAATCAGGCTTTCCCATCCCAAATGACAGTTTTTGTCCTAAAGTGGACGTTTTTGGCCCCAAAATAGGATCTTTGTGTTGCCAAACCGAGTTTTCAGCCCTCAAAATGGAGGTTTTCAGCCCCAGAATAGGATCTTTGTTCTCTGAAACATCTGAAGTGATGCTTTTTGACCCCAAAAAGCATTTTTCTGCCCCGAAATGGGGGTTTCAACCACACAATTGCAATTTTTAGCCCCCAAATTGGTGTTCCCTGCTCCAGAAATACTTTTTTTTTTTTTTACAGCTCTGAATTAAAACCTTTTTGTTCCCAAGAAGCATTTTTCTATTTGTAAACCGAACTTTTCAGCCCCAGAATTGGCCCCCCCCCGGATTTTTTCATCCCATTATTAAAATTTTAGCTACAAAATGCTCCTTTTCTGCCTCAAACCAGCATTTTTGACCAAAAATTGTAATTTTAGCTCACTAAGCACTGCAGTGTTTAAACGCCCATAAATGCAGATTTTCAGTCTCCAGAATGATGATTTTTAACCCAAACCGGCATTTTTAACCCATTTCTCCACCATCAGCCCCAAATTGAGGCTTTTTGGCATGTTTTCACCCGCAGGGTGTGGCCCTCCCCCCCCCCCCCCCCCCCCCCCCCCTCCGGGG